CAAGTTCAGCATTTATGAATGTTGTATTGAAACTGGAACTTTAAAATTGGATACATTACATGATTATTACAAAAAAAGAGGGAAAAGCTACTAAAAAGTCCCTTATAGGGGTAAATTCAGTAAATAAATATACGTCATCAGGGACCGCCCATTTGGGGGAGAGCTTTCTGTATAAAACTGAAGTCATGTGCTCTTCTGATTGGTAGATAATGTTTGTAATAAATATTTTTTGATAGATGGATAAAAACTAGAGTTGAAAAAAAAAAAAAAGAAATGCTGAATGTACTAAATTTTTTTACTACAGGGTTGAAAAGTAATGGGGGTCAGTGAAGGAATTAAGTGCGAATCTACAGTGTTTGTAAACAAGGCCATGTGAATGCCCAAAAATGCCGCATGACCCTATGTTTTTATTGTTGCAAATGATAGGGCTACATTTGTACTTTCATGAATGATATATGAATTTTTCTAATTTCTAAAAGTAAATCAGGTATAAATTTAATTCAAGACATAGATTAGCATTACAGTCAATGGGAGATTTTTTACTGAATTTACCCCTATAAAAATAGAAAATGACTTCATAGTCAAGGCTAAAGGTAAACAAAAAACCTTCATCAGCAAAATTTTATATTGGCAAATTTCCAATGAAGTTTATTACACTAAAATTGTTGGCAAATTTCCAATGCATTTATTAACAATAAAGTTATTGTCAAATTTCCAATTTACATAATTTAAAAGCAGTGTAGATGAGATATTTAAATGAGTTTGAATTACCAACCTTACACTGCTTTTAAATAATGTTCTTTACTCAATTATTTGTCTATTAAAATGGAAACCCTTGTTTTTTAACCTTTTTTCCCCTTATTCCTTAAACATTAGAGCCATAACCCCCCCCCCCAAAGCCAATTAAATTTCCAATATACATAATTTTAAATTTCAATTCCTCATGATATATAACCGTATCATTATTATTTTCTTTCATATATAAATCTGAAACAACCATCTTTAAATGGAAAATTTTAAAGAAAAAAAAAGGAAAAAAAAAATCCTACCTCCCACACATTTTTTCAACCCCCTTTTGATTCATCATCCCCCACCTCAATCACAACCTTCAATTTGTGGTATGGTACATTGCAATACAATTTCACAGAGATCCATACACTTGAACACAAGTTTTTGTTGCAAACTAAAAAAATCCTTATTTTTGACCAATATTTGGCCCCTTATTCATAAATGTTTGAGCAATTAACCCCAAAACTTAATTCCTACTTCACTTCGTGATAAAAAATAACTAACTTAAAATGTAAATTTTAAACAAAAAAAAAGGAAAAAAAAAAATTACCCCTTTTTTTACCCCCGACCCCCTTATGATTCATCACCCCCACCCCCCTTTCCCCCCAAACCAAGCTCAATAACAGCCTTGCCTTTGTGGTATGGTACCTTGTAATACAATTTTAGAGAGATCCATACACTTGAACACAAGTTATTGTCTAGAAACTAAAAAATGCTTATTTTAAACCCCTTTTTAGGCCCCTTATTACTAAACGTTTTGGGCAATTACCACAACACTCAATTCCAGCTTTCCCTTTGTAAAATGGAACCTTGTAGTAAAATTTCAGAAAGATCCATACACTTACACACAAGTTATTGTCATGAAACTAGAAAAATGCTTGTTTTTTGCCCCCTTTTGGCCCCTTATTCCTAAACTTTTGAGGCAATTAACCCCAAAATCAATCCCAGCATTGACCCTTTGTGATATGGAATCTTGTGGTACAATGTCAAAGAGATCCATATGCTAACACACAAGTTATGTCTGGAAGTTACAAAAATGCTTATTTTCGGCCCCTTTTTGGCCCCTAATTCCTTAACTGTTGGTACCATAACCCCCAAAATCGATCCCCACCTTCCTATTGTGGTATTGAACCTTATGGTGAAATTTCATAGAGATCCATTCACTTAAACTAAAGTTAGAGTGGGAAAACCATTGTGTATTCGGACGACGACGCCGACGACGACGCCAACGTCATACCAATATACGACCTCAAAATTTTTTTGCGGTCGTATAAAAACTAAACTATGACCACTGAACCATGAAAATGAGGTCAAGGTCAGATGACACCTGCCAGTTAGACATGTACCCCTTACTATCATTACATACACCAAATATAGTAGACCTATTGCTTATAGTATCTCAGATATGGACTTGACCACGAAAACTTAACCTTGTTCACTGATCCATGAAATGAGGTCGAGGTCAAGTGAAAACTATCTGACGGGCATGAGGACCTTGCAAGGTACGCACATACCAAATATAGTTATCCTATTACTTATAATAAGAGAGAATTTAACATTCCAAAAAATCTGAACTTTTTTTTCAAGTAGTCGCTGAACCATGAAAATGAGGTCAAGGACATTGGACATGTGACTGACGGAAACTTCGTAACATGAGGCATCTATATACAAAGTATGAAGCATCCAGGTCTTCCATCTTCTAAAATATAAAGCTTTTAAGAAGTTAGCTAACGCCGCCGCCGCCGGATCACTATCCCTATGTCGAGCTATTTGCAACAAAAGTAGCAGGCTCGACAAAAACTGCAAAATTTTTGTAAAATTACTAACTCAGGGGCAGCAACCCAACAAGGGGTTGTCAGATTCGTCTGAAAATTTCAGGGCAGATAAATCTAAATCTGACGAACATTTTTGCCACCTCTTAGATTTGCTCTAAATGCTTTAGTTTCAGAGATATATACCAAAAACTGCATTTTACCCCTATGTTCTATTTTTAACCAAGTTGGCCATGATGGTTGGATTGGAAGGCGGGGTCATCGGACAAATTTTTTAAAACTAGATACCCTGATAATGATTATGGCCAAGTATGGTTAAATTTGTCTCAGTAGTTTCAGAGAAGATTTTTGTAAAAGATTACAAAAATTTACGAAAAATTGTTAAAAATTGACTATAAAGGGCAATAACTCCTAAAGGGGTCGACTGACAATTTTGGTCATGACAACTTATTTGTAGATCTTACTTTGCTGAACATAATTGCTGTTTACAGTTTATCTCTATCTATAATAATAGTCAAGATAATAACCAAAAACTGCAAAATTTCCTTAAAATTACCAATTCAGGGGCAGCAAACCAACAACAGGTTGTCAGATTTGTCTGAAAATTTCAGGGCAGATAGATCTTGACCTGATAATAAGTTTTACCCTTGTCAGATTTACTCTAAATGCTTTGGTTTCAGAGATATAAGCCAAAATCTACATTTTACCCCTATGTTCTATTTTTAGCCATGGCGGCGATTTTGGTTGGTTGGCGGGGTCATCGGACACATTTTTTAAACTAGATATCCTAATGATGATTGTGGCCAAGTTTGGTTAAATTTGGCCCAGTGGTTTCAGAGGAGAAGATTTTTGTAAAAAGCTAACGACGACGGACGACGACGTCGGGCCAGGTGAGCTAAAAATGGCTTCTAATATTTCTGGACAGACTTAATTTAAAAATCATTAAGATGATTAAATAAAATGCTTCGCTGGGCGCAGCTTGATACGACCGCAGAGGTCGAACCCTGAACAGTTGGGACAAGTATGGACACAACATTCAAGCTTGATACAGCTCTGAATTTGGATTGTGATTAAATATTTGACACAGCATAGGTTTCTGACACAGAAAGAATGTGGTCTAAGAACTTGATTTTTTTTTATTTACCTATTATGGTCCAATGTCCAAAAATCAAAATACATGGTTAGATTCAGCATATCAAAGAACCCCATATATTCAATTTTTGTTGAAATCAAACAAAGTTTAATTTTGGACCCCAACTTGGACAAACTTGAAAACTGGGCCCATAATCAAAAATCTAAACACATGTTTAGATTCAGCATATCAAAGAACCCCAAGAATTCAATTTTTGTTAAAATCAAACTAAGTTTAATTTTGGACCCTTTGGACCTTAATGTAGACCAACTTAAAAAACGGGACCCAAAATTAAAAATCTAAATACACGGTTAGATTTGTCATATCAAAGAACCCCAATAATTCAATTTTTGATGAAATCAAACAAAGTTTAATTTTGGACCCCAATTTGGACCAACTTGAAAACTGGGCCAAAAATCTAAAATCTAAATACATGTTTAGATTCAGCATATCAAAGAACCCCATAAATTCAATTTTTGTTAAAATCAAACAAAGTTAAATTTTGGACCCTTTGGACCTTAATGTAGACCAATTTGAAAACTGGACCCAAACCAAAATTAAAAATCTAAATACACGGTTAGATTAGGCATAACAAATAAATAAATGTGGTCAAATATTTTACAAATCTAATGCGCCATACTGTGCAATTAAAGATTACTTCTTGAAATTTTTCAATATTTGAAATTTGAAAAAAAAATAATATTTGAAGAATAATTCTTTTTAATTTCTGAAATCTGAAATGAGAAAAAATTGACCCCCACAATTTCTTTTTACCCCCCCCCCCCCCCCTTTTTTCCCCCAAAAAATTCTTTCCCTAAAGATATGGTCATAATCTCAATTTCCAATGGAGTTTGCAACCATAATTACCCATTTGATATTTACCATACTGCTAACTTAATCTATTTTATAACAGAATTTAAAATATAGTGTCAAATCTTTCATATGGATTTTTTGGTAAAAAAAAAAGATGCAACATTTGCAGATACTTTTACTGGTTATCCTTTATAAATATGCATTTCTTTAAACATAATTTAAAAGCAGTGTAAGGGAAGTAACCAAAACGTTGTATTTGGATTACCTCCCTTACACTGTTTTAAATTATCTTAATTGTTCATCATTGTTCATTAACCATTACTTTATTCATAATTTAAAAGCAGTGTAAGGGAGATAATTTCAATGATGTATTTGATTTATCTCCCTTACACTGCTTTAAATTATGTTTTGTACTAAAGTATTTGTCCATTAACCAGGACAACCTTGTTTTTCCCACTTTTTTGCCCCTAATTCCAAAACGGTTTGAGCCATAACCCCCCAAAGCAAATCCTAACCATCCCTTTGTGGTATGGAAACTTGTAGTATAATTTCAGAGAGATCCATACACCGTTCCACAGTTATTGTCTGGAAACTAGAAAATGCTTATTTTTGGCCCCTTTGTGGCCCCTAATTCCTTAACTGTTGGAACCATAACCCCCAAAATCAATCCCCACCTTCCTTTTGTGGTATTGAACCTTATGGTAAAATTTCAAAGAGATCCATTCACTTAAACTAAAGTTAGAGTGCGAAAACCAATGTGTCTTCGGACGACGACGACGCCAACGTCATACCAATATACAACCACATAAAAAACTGCGACTCTTTTCACAAAAAAATTTACGATAAAAATTGATCGTAAGTTAAACTGAAATGTGTATGACTTACGAGTATTTTTACTCTTAAGATTTTTTGTGAAAAGAGCTCCTGGCTTATATTATGTTTCTTGGAACCAAATCTTGCGTCAAATCATTGCTTACAGATATGAATCTAACCATATCAACCCATGAAAATGAAGTCACAGTTGTCATGATCACATAACAATGACTAGACATGACCAGAGATTATAGACCAAATATAGTTTACAACATGGAATTTCTTACATATTGTAGATGTCTTATTTATGCTGTCTCATTGATGTCTCATTGATGTATGTCCAATATCTCTTTTCATTCAAACAATTACTCACTTATTCTTAAAGTTGAAAGAAGTTGACCATAACTGATGAAAAGTTGAAAGAAGTTGACCATAACTGATGAAAAGTTGAAAGAGGTTTACCATAACTGATGAAAAGTTGAAAGAGGTTTACCATAACTGATGAAAAGTTGAAAGCAGTTTACCTTAACAATGCTTAACTGATGAAAAGTTGAAAGAAGCTTACAGTAACTAATGAAAATACCACCGGATGTTTAACTGAATAGATAAAAATCATCCAAAAACAGATAACATATAATTATCCGGTTACGGATAACCAATAATTATCCAGTAACAGATAACTTTCAGACACTACATAAATAGAGTGCCACTATCAATCCACCATTCTACCTCTGAAGAAGGCCAAGCTATGAATCATAACCAGGCACTGTTAATTATGTATTTGCTGCATTACCTATACTTTTTCTCACTGATTCTTGCTTTATTCAAACATATCTTATAACTTAACGAAATAAATAGTGTTAAATTTAGGGTGTAATAACAAAACTGGATAATCATGATAATACTACAAATCAACAACACTTTACAATATTCTATGAAAAAGATAACCAAAACTGAGTACCCAATTTTTATCTTTATTTACCAAAATGCAAGTCATTTGAATAATCATGATAATTTCCCCTGTCCCCAACCATTTGTCAGTGGTAATGAATTTCAACAGATTTTCTTCATTGTCAAAAGATTGATTCTCCCCTAAAAAAAACTATAAAAATTGGTAAAATTTTCAACCTTATATTTCTAGAAAATTAGTGCAGGGACTTAAAGTCATCTGAAACGAGTCTCTTGTAATTATAATGTTAAACATGTTAAGGAAATTATTGAATGAATGCACACATGTATACTATACTAAGTCCTCTATGCACACATATATACTATACTAAGTCCTCTATGCACACATATATACTATACTAAGTCCTCTATGCACACATATATACTATACTAAGTCCTCTATGTTTTTATTATAAATCAATAACGTATAATCACACAACATTCAGTGATTGTTAATTGAAAAATTTAGCTTCTAATTGTTTTGTTGCCTATGTTTACCAGTCATGACTTTAATAAACAATCAACCAGAATCATTGGAGCACCTGAAAAATAAGAAAGTTGATAGAGCAATGTTAATTTTTTTTTTTAATTTTCATGCGTTTCCATTTGTTAAACAAACTTTGTCATAACAGTTTTTAAATGATTTGGTGCATTTAATTTTTCTTTCAGAATCAATAAACGCTATCTACCTTCCAGTGCATGTTTTTTTACATTTCTTTCGTCATGGTTTTTCCCTTGCACTATGTGGTTGTGGAAGTTCTAACGAGAGGTCTTGTCGTTAAGGTCAATGCATATGGAAAAGCAATTCTCGAATTAGAGAACGGGAAAACAATAATTCAATAGAAGTACATTTCTTAAGGTTTTGATAAGATAAAGAGTTTTCTTTTACAAGAGAGTTCATGTCCACTTGTTCTTTTGTAAAACTTAGCAATACAAGTATAAATGAAATGCTCCGCTGGGCGCAGCTTGATACGACGGCAGAGGTCGAACCCTGAACAGTTGGGGCAAGTATGGACACTACATTCAAGCTTGATACAGCTCTGGATTTTGATTGTGATTATATATTTGACATAGCAATAGGTTTCTGACACAGAATGAATGTGGTCGAAAAATTGAAAAATTTTAAATTGGACTTTTACCTATCATGGCCCAATTTCCAAAATCTAAATACACGGTTAGATTCAGCATATCAAAGAATCCCAAGAATTCATTTTTTTTTAATTCAAACAAAGTTTAATTTTGGACCCTTTGGACATCAATGTGGACCAATTTGATAAAAGGGCCCAAAATCCAAAATGAAATTCATTGTTAGATTCAGCATATCAAAGAACCACATATATTCAATTTTTGTTGAAATCAAACAAAGTTTAATATTGGATCCCGATTTAGACCAAATGAAAACTTGGCTCGAAATCAAAAATCTAAATACATGCTTAGATTCAGTTTAGCAAAAAAACCCTTGAATTCATTTTTTTCATAAAATCAAAATAATTTAAATTTTGGACTATGTGGTTCAATTTGAAAACTGGTCCCAAAATAAAAAATTTAAAATACAGAGTTAGAATTCAATTTTTTTTTAAATCAATCTAAGTATAATTTTGGACCCTTTGGGCCTTAACGAGAACCAATTTGAAAGAAGGCCCCAAAAATAAAATCTAAATACCATGAATACATGCTAAGATTCGTCATTATCAAAGAACACCAATAATGCAATATTTGATGAAATCAAACACAGTTTAATTTGAGACCCTTGTACCGATTCATATACGGAGCCCAAAATCTTATATCTAAATACACGGTTAGATACCGCATATCAAAGAACCACATGAATTCAAGACTTTGAATTAAACCACATTGAAGTTGGTCAAGAAATAAGCAATTTTTACAAAGTAATTAGAAAAGTATTGTAAAAAAAAATGAAGAAAAAAACAATTCCAAAATATTAATCCTCATTAATACAAAGTCTTTAAAAAATCTATAAAACTTACCTTAATTATTTTTCAAAATATCTAATAATGAACAGCAAATTTCAAACTTTATCAATACATAATTTCTTCTCTTAAATAAGATATGATGTTGTATCTATTTTCAAATATGACTCAACTTGAAATTTCTGTTGATTGCGCAATACATCTCTGAATTTTAGATTCTGATTAAATATTTATTGTAGCATAATTTCTGACACAGAATGAATGTGGTATAAGTTCTTAAATAATTTAAAATTGGACATTTACCAATTATGGTCCAATATCCAAATTCTAAAAAACATGGTTGGAATCAACATATCAAAGAACCCCAAGAATTCAATTTTTGAAGAAATCCAACAAAGTTTTATTTTGGACCTTTTGGACCTCAATGTGAACCAATTTGATAACAGGACCCAAAATCCAAAATCTAAATATACACTTGAATTTAGCATATCAAAGAACCCCATGTATTATTTTTTGGTAAAAATCAAACAAAGTTTAATTTTGGACCTCAATTTAAACCAACTTAAAAAATGTGCCTTAAAACAAAAATCTAATTATATGCTTAGATTCAGCATATCAAATATCCACAAGAATTCAATTTTTGTTAAAATCAAACTAAGTATTTTAGATACTTTGGACCCTTCAGTTTGAAAAACGGGCCCAAAATCTAAATTTAAAGAACACCAATAATTCAATTTTTGAAGAAATCATTCAAAGTTAAATTTTGGACCCAAATTTGTACCAACTTTGAAAACCAAGCACAAAATCTAAAATCTAAAACACTGTTGGATTGACCATTTTAAATAACACCAACAATTAAATTCTTGATGAAATCAAACAAAGTTCAACTTTGGACCCCAATTTAGACCTACTTGAATACTGTGCCCAAAATCATAAATCTAAATACATGCTTAAATTCAGCACATTAAAGAACCCCAACCATTCATTTAAAAAAAAAGCAAACAAAAATTAATTTTGGACCCTTTGGACCTTAATGTGGACCAATTTGAAGACAGGCCCGAAAATTAAAAATCTAAATACATGATTAGATTCAGCATATCAAAGAACACCAATAATTCAATTTTTGAAGAAATGAAACAAAGTTAAATTTTGGTCCCTTTGAATCTTAATATGGTTCAATTCAAAAACAGACCCAAAATCGAAATTATAAATACCCAATTAGATTCAGCATATTAAAGAACCCCAATGTAAGAATTCAAAACTTTGAATTAAAACCCAATGAAATTGCTAAAGAAATAAGCAATTTATATACAAAGTATTACAAAATAATTATTTTTGGCCCCTTTTAACTTAACCGTTAAGGTCATAACCCCTAAAATCAATCCCAAACTTTATTTTATGATACAACACCTTGTGGCACAATTAAATAGCAATAAATAGACTTATACTCAAGTTATTGTCCAGAAACCAGAAAATCCTAGTTTTTTGGCCCCTTTTCGGCCCCTAATTATTAAACAGTTTGGATCATGACCCCCAAAAATAAATCAAAACTTTCCTTATGAAGTATGGAACCTTGTGGTAAAATTTCATAGAGATCCATACTCTAATACACAAATAATAGTCCTGAAACATGAAAAATGCTTGTTTTTGGCCCCTAATTACCAAACAGCTACAACAATAACCCCCAAAATAAATCCAAACCTTCCTATTGTGGTATGGAACTTTATGCTAAAATTTAATAGAGATCCATGCACTTATACTCAAATTTTTGTCTGTGAACCAGACATATAATTGTTTTTGTTAGGCCCTTTTTGACCCCTAATTCCTAATCAGCTATGACAATAACCCCCAAAATAAATTCCAACCTTCCTATTGTGGTATGGAACCTTGTGCTAAAATTTAATAGAGATCCATGCACTTATACTCAAGTTATTGTCTGTGAACCAGACAAATAATTGTTTTTGTTAGGCCCTTTTTGACCCCTAATTCCTAATCAGCTATGAGGTATGGAACCTTGTGCTAAAGTTTCATACAGATCCATACACTTATACTAAAATTATTGTATTCGTACCAATTTATTTTTTCTGTGAACCAGTAAAACTGACTTTCTTTGGCCTGATGAAGACAGTTTAAGTAATTTTTACGAGTTATAAAGGTTATCCAAAGTAAATTTTTAAATCTTCAAATTGAATGATCTGGGAAAAAAACATAAAACTTCTAGTGTTATGTACCTGTTTTGTCCCTGGAATGTTCATTTATCACATTAACTATATCACTATGACCTCTTTCAGAAGCAATTATGACAGTTGACTTGCCTTCATTGTTACATTTATTATAATCTGCTCCTATGTCTAACAACATCCTTACTATTTCTGTATGTCCCGTACTACAAGCAATCTTTACAGGTGACCAACCATTATTGTCACATTTATTATAATCTGCTCCTATGTCTAACAACATCCTTACTATTTCTGTATGTCCCTTACTACAAGCAATCTTTACAGGTGACCAACCATCATTGTCACATTTATTATAATCTGCTCCTATGTCTAACAACATCCTTACTATTTCTGTATGTCCCTTACTACAAGCACTCATTACAGGTGACCAACCAGCATTGTCACATTTATTATAATCTGCTCCTATGTCTAACAACATCCTTACTATTTCTGTATGTCCATTTCTACAAGCACTCATTACAGGTGACCAACCATCATTGTCACATTTATTATAATCTGCTCCTATGTCTAACAACATCCTTACTATTTCTGTTTGTCCATCACTACAAGCACTCATAACAGGTGACCAACCATCATTGTCACATTTATTATAATCTGCTCCTATGTCTAACAACATCCTTACTATTTCTGTATGTCCATTTCTACAAGCACTCATTACAGGTGACCAACCATCCTTGTGACATTTATTATAATCTGCTCCTATGTCTAACAACATCCTTACTATTTCTGTATGTCCCACACTACAAGCAATCATTACAGGTGACCAACCATCATTGTCACATTTATTATAATCTGCTCCTATGTCTAACAACATCATTACTATTTCTGTATGTCCCTTACTACAAGCACTCATTACAGGTGACCAACCAGCATTGTCACATTTATTATAATCTGCTCATATGTCTAACAACATCCTTACTATTTCTGTATGTCCATATCTACAAGCAATCTTTACAGGTGACCAACCATCATTGTCACATTTATTATAATCTGCTCCTATGTCTAACAACATCATTACTATTTCTGTATGTCCCACACTACAAGCAATCATTACAGGTGACCAACCATCATTGTCACATTTATTATAATCTGCTCCTATGTCTAACAACATCATTACTATTTCTGTATGTCCCTCACTACAAGCACTCATTACAGGTGACAAACCATCATTGTGACATTTATTATAATCTGCTCCTATGTCTAACAACATCATTACTATTTCTGTATGTCCCTCACTACAAGCACTCATTACAGGTGACCAACCACCATTGTCACATTTATTATAATCTGCTCCTATGTCTAACAACATCCTTACTATTTCTGTATGTCCATCACTACAAGCACTCATTACAGGTGACCAACCATCATTGTCACATTTATTATAATCTGCTCCTATGTCTAACAACATCCTTACTATTTCTGTATGTCCCTCACTACAAGCACTCTTTACAGGTGACCAACCATCATTGTTACATTTATTATAATCTGCTCCTAATTCTAACAACATCCTTACTATTTCTGTTTGTCCATTACTACAAGCACTCATTACAGGTGACCAACCTACATTGTCACATTTATTATAATCTGCTCCTATGTCTAACAACATCATTACTATTTCTGTATGTCCCTTACTACAAGCACTCATTACAGGTGACCAACCAGCATTGTCACATTTATTATAATCTGCTCCTATGTCTAACAACATCCTTACTATTTCTGTATGTCCATATCTACAAGCAATCTTTACAGGTGACCAACCATCATTGTCACATTTATTATAATCTGCTCCTATGTCTAACAACATCATTACTATTTCTGTATGTCCCACACTACAAGCAATCATTACAGGTGACCAACCATCATTGTCACATTTATTATAATCTGCTCCTATGTCTAACAACATCATTACTATTTCTGTATGTCCCTCACTACAAGCACTCATTACAGGTGACAAACCATCATTGTGACATTTATTATAATCTGCTCCTATGTCTAACAACATCATTACTATTTCTGTATGTCCCTCACTACAAGCACTCATTACAGGTGACCAACCACCATTGTCACATTTATTATAATCTGCTCCTATGTCTAACAACATCCTTACTATTTCTGTATGTCCATCACTACAAGCACTCATTACAGGTGACCAACCATCATTGTCACATTTATTATAATCTGCTCCTATGTCTAACAACATCCTTACTATTTCTGTATGTCCCTCACTACAAGCACTCTTTACAGGTGACCAACCATCATTGTTACATTTATTATAATCTGCTCCTAATTCTAACAACATCCTTACTATTTCTGTTTGTCCATTACTACAAGCACTCATTACAGGTGACCAACCTACATTGTCACATTTATTATAATCTGCTCCTATGTCTAACAACATCCTTACTATTTCTGTATGTCCCTTACTACAAGCACTCATTACAGGTGACCAACCAGCATTGTCACATTTATTATAATCTGCTCCTATGTCTAACAACATCCTTACTATTTCTGTATGTCCATATCTACAAGCAATCTTTACAGGTGACCAACCATCATTGTTACATTTATTATAATCTGCTCCTATGTTTAACAACATCCTTACTATTTCCACCCAACCTTCCTGAGCAGCTACATGTAATGGTGATAACTCATCATTTCTGCACTGATTAACATCAACACCATGATTAATACACCAATTAATCATAGGAATGTCACCATCAAAACATGACAGTAACAGTGCAGTATCATTATTACTTACATCACAGGTGAGTGATAATTGTCTCTGGTAAGATACAGTCAGTTCATTTAAAAAACAGAGAAATTTTTTTCTGAACTGTGGTATGCTCATATTTATGTTACAAAACACATCATTTACTTTACCCTTTGACCAGTCATCAATCATTCTTTGTATGTACATTTTATGATACTTAGGAGGTACAATTGTTATAAACTGATCAACATTGTTTTGTTTTTGTAACAAAAATCTTTCCATGATCAAACTACTATGTGCATTCTTTATCAAGCAGCTGATTATTTTCTGTCCAAAGTAGTACACCAGAAAGTCAAATATTTTATCATGAATAGTTTTGTATATGTTTTCCTCCTTTTTCAGGAATGTATGTGTAAGTGAGTTTAGTTCATCTTGTAATGTAAGCCGTGATATTCCTCTATCTAGTTTACATGCCTCACAAGTGTTCTCAATGATGGTTCTTGTTTCTTCTTTCACCTCCTCTGTCAATATATCTTCATTTAACTTGTTGTTAAATATGACACATAAAGCCAAAGCACAGTATTTACTAGAAAATCCTTTTTTCTGTAGTTTGTCAATCTCTTCTTTATAAACTGTAAATGGGTTCTGGAAAAAATCTGTGATATTAAGTGCAGGATTTTCATGATACAATTTACATAAAAGTGGGAAACAATCATATAAATCATAATAATCTATAACCTCAGGTGCTTTTGTTTTAAGATAAACTTCAGCTATTGACTCTTTTTCAGCTTTTGTCAAGCACATGTTATCTGATAAAAGGTTACACACACATGATTTGAAAATCGATAAAGATTCAAATTTGTCATCCTGATACACTTGTAATCGACATGCTGCTATTATCTTAGCATGTGTATTTGAAAGGATATTTTTTATTCGCTCCATGACTGGTTCCCAAACTTTTATGTCGGTCTGGTTTAAAGAATAGTTTCCACATAAATCATCAATAACAAACAATGATTTCTGGTTTGGATTATAAAACTTAACAATGTCACCTGGATCTGTCACTAGAAGTAAATCGTACCCTTCCTTTGCCATTTGTAATGCCACATGTCGGAGTATTGCTGTCTTACCAACACCAGAACTAGCAGTAATAGTTACACAACTGTTCTCTGTTATACATTTCAGTACATGTCTGGTAGCTTCTGTTGGTATAAACATGTGGTCATTATCCTTCCACTCCACAAGAATCTGACTGATTTGTGCTGAAATATAAATAAACTTATTACTGTCTTTATTCAGATCATTGTGCAGTTCATATATTTGGTTATGCATTTTGGAGATTGAAGCATTTTAATACTTAAAACTGTTTTGAAACAAGTTTTTGCACATATTCTTTGAACTAAAATTCCAAATTATGTTTTTTTGTTTTCTGTATCATTAACATGTACCCCACTTCTTTTATTTATTTTGTTAAGTTAATAACAGTTTCTGTTCAATTAATGAGATTTGAATGTCCTCTTGGTATCTTCCGCCTCTTTTTTTTCCCGAACATGAACATGGCTAATAATGAAGACAATGGTAAACATGCTGAGATGGCTTACCTGATTTTCTGATACTGATTGAATTTGTGTTAAAAGTCATAAAGACAAAGGTTTAATACAAGTATAATATAAACCTTAACATTTTCATTAATTATGAGCTAAACGGACAAGTTAAAAAAATATATTTTACCTTTTGCTTAAAGTATATGAGAACCAGTCAAAACTACAAAAACATAACATCGACCGATGAACCATGAAAATGAAGTCAAGGTCATATGAAACCTGCCAGATAGACATGTGCACCTTGCAATTCTTCCATACACCACATATAATTGACCTTTTGCTTATTGTACCTGAGAACCAGATCAATACTCAAAATCATAACATTGATCAATGAACCATAAAAATGAGGTCAAGTTCAGATGAAACCTGCTAGATGGACATTAACAAATTACAATCATTCCATACACAAAATATAGGTCAAACAAAATATAGTTGACATACTCCTAATAGTATCTTTGATAACTGATCAAAGAAATGAGGTCAGATGAAACAAACTTTCAGAAATAAAGACCCTCCAAGAAATACCATATACCATATACCATATATATTTATCCAATTACTTATCATGAGTGAGGAATTCAAATAAAAACTAAACAAAGATGATGCAACACAATTTTCCCCCAATTTCATAAAGAAATGAATTTTTGATACCAGGAATCAATTTGACATAATTTACCTATTATTTTTATAAAAATCATAACACCAAAAGATGTGTCTAAAACATAGACTGATTGATTGTTGATGGTTAACGCCACATCCTGAGCACTCTTCGCTTTGGCGGCTAGTCTTTTCTGGTTGAGGAAACCAGAGTGCATAGAGACAACTACCAACCTTTGACAGGAAAACTATTCATCCTTGTCAATTAAGATAAGCATTTAAAAAACTGGGAGAGGTCTTTCATCATGTCTATTTGTCCCTAATAAATCATGTAATTCCTGTTCATATAATTGTACCTTCAGCAATGGTGGGGTTATATATTATTCACTATGTAGGTTCAATAATGGATGAATAAGTGTACAAAATTCAGTCACAGTCAGTGACATACATGTAAACCTTGCAACATGAGGGGTGCCACATGTGGAACAGGATCTGCTCACCCTACCAGAGCACCTGAGATCACCCCTAATTTTGTGGGGTTCATGCTGCTTGTTGTTATTTGTTTTTTTTTGCCATGGTGTTGTGAGTTTGTATCCTACTTATAAGTTTGAAAGTCCCTCTATTTTATACTGATTCTATATACAAAATACAGCTCATAAAGTGATAATTCAGCTTCACCCCTTGTTTTTCATGATAATATATAAAGTGTATGACCTTGACCTTTCAGACACACATTCCAAAATTATTTGTGACACATTAATTAATATTCCCTTTGAAAAAACATATTCTTAAAGGTTATCAATTAAGCATTGTAGTTTAATCTTTGAATGTCTTCTTATTCAATATTATAATTGGTTTTGTTCTAATGGTTAAATACATAACTAAACATATATTGCTATCCAGTTATGAACACTTATGGCCCAACAGTCTGTCATAAATTATATTTTGACAAGGCAATGCTTAGCTCAGACTGCTTGTGATGTTTTCACATTTATCCATAGGATGTGCATTTGTTGATTTTCTGTGTGTGAAAGCATGGTTTATATTTTAATTGAAATTGGGATTTGAACTACCTTTCAGTATTAAAAACTATTGACACAGAGATATGTTTCGCATTTTGTAACTTTGATGGTGAAACGAAAATGTTGAAATTAAAATGGCAATATTTAAACATGTAAACTATGCAAATCATTCAAAGTCAATGAACCATGACTGAAGGTGCAGGGCCAAACAATCTCCATAGAAACAAGCATTCTGAGAGTATTGCATGGCAATAACATAGTCCCCTACCGGTTAAAAATTAATTGTACTGGAACAAAATGCTAACTTGATCTATAACTTGTCATGGTGTAAACTATAAAACAAATATCAAATCAATATCTTCAAGCATGATGAAAAAAAATGTGGAAAACTGATTATTTGAGTGAATTTTCTATGTCCAAAGACCATGACTCTGCACAAAATCATCAGACTGGAACAAAATTCGAACTTGATCTGTAACTTGTCATGATAAAACAATGTACCAATTATTAAATCAATATCTTCAAGCATGACAAAAAAAAGTGTTGAAAACTGAATATTTGAGTGAATTTTCTAAGTCCAAGGACCATAACTCTGCACAATATTATCAGACCTGAACAAAATTCGAACTTGATCTGTAACTTGTCATGATAAAACAATGTACCAGTTATTAAGTCAATATCTTCAAGCATGACAAAAAAAAGTGTGGAAAACTGAATATTTGAGTGAATTTTCTAAGTCCAAGGACCATAACTCTGAACAAAATTATCAGACCTGAACAAAATTCGAACTTGATCTGTAACTTGTCATGATAAAACAATATACCAAATATCAAATCAATATCTTCAAGCAAAAAGAAAAAAAGTGTGGAAAACTGATTTGCTGGACTGACGGATGGACAGGCAGACAGACGGACAGAGTGCAAACCTAAAGTCCCCTTCGACTTCGTCGGTAGGGGACTTATAAGATTTGCCAATGCTAATACATCTGCATACTAAATATCATTTACCTGCCACTAATAGTTCCCCTTAAACTGATCTAATTACAATCTAATACATCTAAACTAAGCAATAGTTTCAATGTCAATAGACCATGACTGAGGGGGCAGGGCAAAATAATCTCCATAGAAATCAGATGTGCCAATGCTTCTATATACCAAATATCATTGACCTACCACTAATAGTTCCCCTTAGACTGATCTAATCACAAAAATTATTACATGTAAACTAAGCAAAAGTTCAAAGTCAATACAACATGACTGAGGGGGCAGGACAAAATAATCTCCACGGAAATGAGATGTGCTAATGCTTATACACTGCATACCAAATATCATTGACCTACCACTAATTGTTTCCCTTAAACTGACCTAATCACAAAATAATTCATGTAAACTACTCAAAAGTTTCAAAGTCTATAGACCATGACTGAAGGGGTGGGGTAAAATATTCTCCATTGAAATGAGATGTGCCAAAGCTAATGCAACTACAGTTTCCCATAAACTTGACCATATCATGAACTTATGCGGGGGGGGGGGGTTAGCTTTTGAATATGTTCAACCCTGCAACATTATGTATGTCCATGTCACAAGCCAGGAGATTATAGTCCAGTGGTTGTCATTTGTTGCTGTCTACTTTAATTGTTGTAAATTTTTAATTTTAGTATAAATCAGGCTGTTAACGATTGCTTTTTTTTTTTCTTCTTTTAAATTGTTTCACATTGTGCTTTTACTCCTTGCTGAAGACTTACAGTATGGGATTTACTCCTTGTTGAAGAATATACAGTATGGAATTATTCCTTGTAGAAGACTATAGGATATGGGATTTACTCCTGGTTGAAGACTAAACTGTCTGGGATTTACTCCTTGTTGAAGACTATATGATATGGGATTTACTCCTTGTTGAAGACTATACAGTATGGGATTTATTCCTCATTGAAGACCATATGGTATTGGATTAACTCCTTGTTGAAGACTCACCAGTATGGGATTTACTCCTTGTTGAAGACTATACAGTATGGGATTAAAGCCTTGTTGAAGACTCATCAGTATGGGATTTACTCCTTGTTGAAGACTATAGTGTATGGGATTTACTCCTTGTTGAAGACAATAGGGTATGGGATTTACTCCTTGTCAAAGACTATAGGGTATGGTATTTACTCCTTGTTGAAGACTATAGGATATGGGATTTACTCCTAGTTGAAGACCATAGGATATAGGATTTACTTCTTGTTGAAGACTATAGGGTATGGTATTTACTCCTTGTTGAAGACTATAGGGTATGGGTTTTACACCTAGTTGAAGACTATAGGATATGGGATTTACTTCTTGTTGAAGACTATAGGGTATTGTATTTACTCCTTGTTGAAGACTATATGGTATAGGATTAACTCCTTGTTGAAGACTCTAGGGTCTGGGATTTACTCCTGCTGAAGACTATAGGGTATGGGATTTACTCCTGCTGAAGACTTTAGGGTATGGTAATTATTCCTTGTTGAAGACTATACAATATGGTATTTACTCCTTGTTGAAGACTATAGGATATGGGATTTACTCCTTGTTGAAGGCTGTAGGGTATAGGATTTACTCCTTGTACACTATACAGTATGGGATTTACTAATGTTGAAGACTATAAGGTATGGGATTAACTCCTGTTGAAGACTCTAGGGTATGGGATTTACTCCTTGTTGAAGACTAAAGGGTATGGATTTTATTTTTTTTACTCCATGTTGAAGACTATACTATATGGGATTTATTCCTGTTGAAGACTATAGGGTATGGGATCTACTCCTTGTTGAAGACTCATTGGTATGGGATTTAATCTTTGTTGAAGACTTACGGTATGGGATTTACTCCTTTTTGAAGACTATAGGTTATTTTTGTCAAAGACTATAGGGTATGGGATTTACTTCTTGTTGAAGAACATACGGTATGGGATTTACCCCTTTGTTGAAGAACATAGGGTATGGGATTCACATCTTGTTGAAGGCTATACGGTATGAGATTAACTCCTTGTTGAAGACTATAGGGTATGGGATTAACTCCTTATTGAAGACTATAAAGTGACCTGTAGTTGCACACATCCTTGTTCTTAAGATCTTGGTGGATTTCTGATTTATTAACAATCACACCTCATATCCTTATTTTCATATTGATATACATGGGACAACGATATATCATAACTATCAAATGAGATTGAATTAAACTGTGTTCAAAGAATGGAACTGACTTTAGAAAGTAAACTCAGTCTTTCTAAGGTCTTAGGATATCAGTCTTCCTAAGGTATCAGTCTTCCTAAGATATTAGGATATCAGTCTTCCTAAGGTATTAGGATATCAAAAATATCTGTACGACTTATAGAAGAAATTTGTATCTTTTTTTCTTTTTTATTCTTCAATTTCAATTACTTTTTGATTTAAGGTTTCTTTTGCAAAACTGATCCATAATATTCATAGATGATGTTTTCAATGTTTCCCTTCCTAACATGTTTCAATAGACTGGTGGGGTACATGTAAACAGGTTTTTTTGTCTACAAAAATTAACAAAGAATTATTTGAATCTGGAATAATTCTGTATTCTGGAAAATTGATAAGAAATGTATGATGAAAACTAACCCAATTTAGGAGTGTTAGCCATGCATGCATGGCTAAGGGGGGTTACTAAGTTATCAGTGAAAGTAAAATTAACCTTAGGCATGCACGAATTACTGACCCTATTTAGTTGGGTTAGTTTTCATCTAACATTTGTTATCAATTTTTCTAAAATAAAAAATTATTCCAGAACAAAATAATTTCTTGTTAACAGTGTTTTTATTCTGTTTACATTGTCTTTTAGTTTGTCCATTTTCTTGTAAAGCATTCCCAAGATGAACATCAGTTAAGGACATGGTGTATTTTGTTTTTTTTTAGACAAGTGTAAATTCACTGAAAATAAAACATTGTACGATATCATTACTAATAACAGATTTTAAGCAAAGGAAAATAGGCTTTCAGAGCATGTGAATATTTGCCTTGTTGACTGTTGTGTAATTAAAGAGACGTCATATACGAGTTATTTTAGATTTTTACCGAATATAGGCTAATTTTAAGTACGTTTTTGCTAAATTAACATACAATCATGTATAGCACAAGCATTAACTTGTATAATTTTTTCCTGTGAAAAGATACAGCAAAATACACTTACTACTGCAATATCATATTAGATGACAGCTGTTTAGAATGTTTTAACTACGTACTGTATATAGATTCAACATTTACACATTTGGAAAATCAGAAATAGCTTGAAATATATTTGATTTTAAAGCCAATTTGGACAAAATTGAACCTTCTAATTAACTATCACAATTGTTGAATATTCAATATTTACCCCTAATATTCCATGGTACTGTATCTTCTTGAGATGTCTTTAACTTTTTCACTTTTACTGTCAAAGCTTTCTTTGCTCTCTTCAAGCCCTTCACTGACTTGTTCAAGCTCTCCACCGACTTTTTCAATTCAAATATTTCATCATTTGAACGTTTAATGTCCAGCATTATTTCCTGATTGGTCTGGTCCAGTATCTTCACCTTCAGGTCATCACACTCCTGTTTCATTGGCTGTCCACCTAATCGGCTGATAGCCTGAAAATTAACAGAGAACAAGAAGTCTTCATGAAGTAAACAACAATTTGGATTGTGATTAAAAAAATCTAAATCTAAAAATCTAAATACACAATTAGAATCAGCATATCAATGAACCCATTTACATTCAATTTTTATTGAAATCAAACAAAAGTTTAATTTTGGACCCCAATTTGGACTAACTTGAAAACTGGGACCAAAATCAATAAAGAGCAGCGCCATGAGCCCATGATACGCCCATTCTACGTTCGTGGTCAAGATTATAAATTCTACCATGTATGAAAGCTTTCGAGAAAACAGTAACTTGAGTTACAATTTTGTACTTTGTCATGCTTGTTTGGCACAGACGGAAAGAATATGTCCTTTCAAGACACATGTGGCAGTGGTCATTTAAACTAATCCATAACCTTAAAACGAATATACGGCATATACCTGCCAACTTTTTAAAAATTATCCATGTTTTCACCTGGATTGGGCATGTAAAGACATTTTGAAAGGGAGAGTGATTTATTGCGGCAATTTTGCATGTATAATTTCTTTTAGAATGTGTGTAATAATTTGCACCTCTTTTTGTTCTGTTGGTATACACTCAGCTCTTGAAAGTTGATGAGTCTTTTTTAAATATGTATTTTTTTTCCTTTTCAAGCAATTAAGTTTTAAAAACAAATAACCTGCAAAGATACTGACCATCGACATACGTTAATGCATTTAAACACATATATATGTTACTTAAAAGAAATTTTAAGACAACAATTGGCACAATTCAATTTAACCAAAAATTCTAATAGGTTAACAGTGAACTCTGATTTTTATGTTCTTTAACTTCATATCACTGTCTAAACTACTTTAACCTCAAACTATCTAAATGTAAACTGCAAACGAACAACTGAGTACATTTATCAGTAAAATACTAAAAAAAATTAACATTAAAAAAAATAATTTCTAAATTTTGCTCTGGATACTGTCTTTTGATCATGAAGAATAGATGAATTTTACCCAACCAGGTAGGAAATTAAAATTCCATGAAATTTGGAAAAGTCATTTTGATATTTGAAAATCTTTTAATTTTAGACAAAAAGATAACAGCAAAACAAAAAAAATTGCTTCGCCGAGCGCAGCTGGATACGACCGCAGAGGTCCAACCCTGAACAGTTGGGGCAAAAAAGGACGAAATATTCGCGCTTGATACAGGTCTGAATTTGGATTGTAATTAAATATTTGACACATAAAAGGTTTCTGACACAGAATAACTGTAGTCAAAGAACTTAGAATTGGTTACATGATTTGAATTTATATTCAATTTTTTGCTTTTGTGCAATACACTTTGCTGTTGCTAATTGACCCCCCCTTCCCCCCACAAAATAAAAAAAAAAAATTTACCCCCCCCTTTTTTTTTTGCTTTTGTGCAATACACTATGTTGCGTATTAACACTTTTCACTTTTTTGGCAAAAAAAATAATATTTGAAGAATTTTTTTCTTTTAATTTCTGAAATCTGAAATGAGAAAAAATTGACCCCCCTGCAATTTCTTTTTACCCCCCCCCCCCTTTTTTTCCCCCAAAAAAATTCTTTCCCTCAAGATATGGTCATAAACTCAATTCAAATTTCCAATGGAGTTAACAACCATAATTACCATTTAAATTTACCATAGTGCTAACTTAATCTATTTTACAATAGAATTTAAAATATGGTGTCAAATCTTTCATATGGATTTTTTTGTAAAAAAAAAAGATGCAACATTTGCAGATATTTTTACTGGTCTTCCTTTATAAATATGCATTTCTTTAAACATAATTTAAAAGCAGTGTAAGGGAGGTAATCAAAACGTTGTATTTGGATTAATTCCCTTACACTGCTTTTAAATTGTCTTAATTGTTCATTAACCATTACTTTATACATAATTTAAAAGCAGTGTAAGGGAGGTAATTCAAATGATGTATTTGAATTACCTCCCTGACAATGCATTAAATTATGTTTTGTACTAAAGTTATTGTCCATTAACCAGGACACCCTTGTTTTTCCCCTTTTTTGCCCCTAATTCCTAAACGGTTTGAGTCATATCCCCCCAAAGCAAATCCTAACCATCCCTTTGTGGTATGGAAACTTTAGGTATAATTTCAGAGAGATCCATACACCGTTCCACAAGTTATTGTCTGGAAATTAGAAAAATGCTAATTTTTGGCCCCTTTTTCCTTACCTGTTGGTACCATAACCCCCAAAATCTATCCCAACCTTTCTTTGTGGTATTGAACCTTATGGTAAAATTTCATAGAGATCCATTCACTTAAACTAAAGTTATTGTGCGAAAACCCATGTGTCTTCGGACGACGATGACAACGACGACGCCAACGTCATACCAATATACGACCGCAAAAAAAACAACCAAGTCCAATTACTAGTTATATACGGACAAATTATATAATTTTTTTTGCCTCTAAATTTTGCTTTGGACACTGTCTTTTGATAATAACAAGTCTCCTATTCCATGATGTTTTAACAGATTTTAACCCCTGACTTAAATGGAATAGTCTATTCAAAAGTATACCCCTGTCTTAAATGGAATAGTCTATCCACAGGTAATCTATCAATGGCCGAGTTCATCATTGATCTACTCAGATTTTTAACAAAGCAGAAATATTAGTAATTATCACTATTATCAGTATTTTTCCTTTGATCTTTTTACGCGATAATTTTCATTCTCACTCGACTCGCTTAAGAATGAAAATTATTGCTAGTTTCTAAGGTCCTTAGCAACAGCGTATTAATCCATATCCACGCGCTAGAGTGTTGACCAATCAGAAAGTTTAGCCGGAACTATATAAAAGCGTTATCGGATGACTGCGCTGAAATGTCTACAAAAAAAGTATTTTTCTCCTTTCAATTTTACCGTGAATTTCACTTATAAATCAACTTGAAGTTGATAAAAGTAATTAAATCATGTTTCTTACATATAAAAAAATGTCATTTTTTACATAAATCTGCTACAAATGATTGTCTGTCTGTCTACATGTATTGTAACATCAAAATAGAGCTTTCAAAACGGTGAAAATGGTGTTCGCAATCTTTGAACACGCCGGCTGATCAGTTCAAACGCCACTTTTCAAATGAATAAAAGTCGTTGTGCTGTATATATCAAATAAGCCTGCGCGAAATAAATAGTACCAAAAAAGAAAATGCATTCTTATCGTATTAGAAGAAAATAAAAGTATATGGAGTAAATGTACATGGGACAAAATCGCACACAATTACAGTAACATAGAAAAAATTAAAAATTATCAATGAATAGGCCTTTTTTTGGCGGTAATTTGTATTAAATAATATTCGAAAATACACATAATAGCGATAAATAGATTATTTATGTTTTTTTATAGAAATAATCGCCCTTCTATGAGATGAGAATGAGAAAATGCATCTCATTTAAAAAACTTAATTAAACGATAAATTAACAAATCTGATGATTACTTAAATATTAAAACATATTCTAAATGAATTTGACTTTTTAAAAACATTTGTTCAACAATGAGCAACAAGTGGCATAAAGTTTCTTAGCGTTAATTGATAATATGGAAGACTCCATTTGTGCTTAAGGGGTGTTTTACTTCTATCGCTACGGTTTTGACTACATTTTTTCCATTTAAATGTTGTACATGATTTAACTTGAGTTGCAAATGAATCAATGGAGTATGGAATCCAGAGCAACCATTTACGGTAGTCTCATACTCCTTGAGGTCAAGAAAACTATGCATGCGCTTCATCACTTAAACTTACTGTTAGAATTTTTTTTGGTTGAGGTCAATTGTGGCAAAGATGTATATAATATGTTAGTTTTACGTCCTTCATTGGGTTCTCCATTTCTTGAAGGAAGTTTATTATCAAAGTTTCCTAAAGATAACATAATAGGAACAACACCACTTAAGTATTTATCTGATAGTTTTATACGGAACCACTCTCGCATTTCAACAAAACAGCGGAATTCCCTCTTTGACGTGATGCTTAATATATAAAACCATTAATATAGATACTACTTAATTCTGATTTCCGTATTGTAGAATAAACGCAAATAAACAAGAGCTCATGAGAGCCTGATATCACTCACCTGTTTAACACTTTCACCTATGTCAGTTTTTGCTCTTACTGCTTTAGTTTTTGAGATGAAAGCCAAACTGCCACCATGTTTTTGAATGGATCATATCCAAGAATGCAATCTATAAACTAAATACCCTAAGGAACATTCAATTAAAGTTTTTAAGTATTTGGCCAAGTAGTTTCAGAGAAGAAGATTTTTGCAAAAATAGACTTTCACAAAAAATGTAAAAAAAAAAAACATCTTAAGGGCAATAACTCCTTAAGGGGTCAATTCACTATTTTGATCATGTTGACTTATTTGTAGATCTTACTTAGCTGAACATTAATTGCCATTTATACTTCCTCTCTATCTATTAAAATATTAAAAAAAATAACCAAAAACAGTAAAATTTAATAAAAATAAATTAGTTCCAACAGTAACCCAACAATGGGTTGTCGAACTTGTCTGAAAATTTCATAACAGATAGATCATGACCCATTTATTACTATAACTCCCTTTCAGTTTTGCTCTAACTGCTGTAGTTTTTGGGATAAAAGCCAAAAACTGCTTTTGTCTCCTATGTTCTATTTTTAGCCTTGGCGGCCATGTTTGTTGATGGATCAAAACTTCGGACACAATTTATAACCTAGATACCCTAAGGAACATTCAATTTAAGTTTGAAGGTATTTGGCTTAGTAGTTTCAGAGGAGAAGATTCTTGAAATAGTTTACGACGATGATGACAAAAAGACGACAGACGACGACGGACGCCAAGTGATGGCATAAGCTCACATGGGGCCCTTCAGGCCATGGTGAGCTAAAAGGGAAGATATCAAAACATGAGAATTATGAAAATAAAATAAAAGGAAAGTTGTTTAAATTCAATCTGTTTGTTTATTTTACTCTTTAAAACAGATCGATCTTAAGAATCTGAGTTGTTCCTTAATGTAAAGCACAAAACGGTTGACATGAGAGCCTTGGAAAGGCGTCATTGGTAAAAGTCTACAGATTGCTTGACAGAAATGGTATCCCAAAATCTAAAGGGAGGTTATTTTTATAGATATAAACAAGTCACCAAAGCTTCATGAAAACTGCTAAAATTTTGTGTTATTGTCTGAAAAGTGGAAAATCCCCCTTTTTCATAAATAAAACCCCATAACTCGTGATGTAAAATCTAAAATTAATAAAAATCATGGGAGCTTACGTCAATAGATGTAAACAATTCACCAAAGTTTCATGCAAATTGGTGAAAGCATTTTCAAGTTATTGTACGACATGTTGACGATGGACAGACAGACGGACGGACGGACAACATGCAACAGTATACCATTATAAGTCTTGTAAAGGATCATATACAAATCTTGATACATGTTTAGATTCATCTTATCAATAAACCCCAAGAATTCAATTTTTGTTTCACTACTAAGTTAAATTTTGGACTAGTTGGACCTTAATGTGAACCAATTTGAAAACCAGGCCCAAAATCCAAAATCTAAATACACGGTTGATAGATTCAGCATACCAAAGAACCCCAAGAATTCATTTTTTCTTGAAATCAAATTTTTGGAATTCAATGTGGTCAAATATAAAAACAGGGCCCAAAATCCAAAATTTAAATACACGGTTAGATTCAGCATATTAAAGAACCCCCAGAATTTAATAATTTGAATTAAATCCCATTGACATCAGCAATTCATACAAAGTATTTGAAAAGAATTGTTTTGTGGCCCTTTTTCCTGAACGGTTAGGACCATAACTCCCAAAACCAATCTCAACCTTTCTTTTTTAGTATGGAATCTTGTGGTACAATTTCATAGAGATCCATAGACTTGTACTCAAGTTATTGTCCCGACACCAGAAAATCCTGTTTTTTTAGCCCCAAATTCCTAAACAGTATGTGCCATAACCTCCCAAATTAATCCCAACCTTCCTTTTGGCGTATAGAACCTTGTGTTACATTTTCATACAGATCCATCTGCTTATAAACAAGTTATTGTCCTGAAACAAGAAAAAAGCTGGTTTTTGGCCCTTAATTTCTTAACAGTTAAGACACTTACCCCCTAAATCCATCCCAATCTTTCTTTTGATATGGGACCTTGTGATATAATTTCATAGAGATCTATACACTTTTACTCAAATAATTGTCTGGAAACCAAATGTCTTCAGACGATGACAACGACGACAACATCATACAATTATACGACTGCAAATCTTTTACGGTTGTATAAAAAGATACCTGCAACAATTGCTGCTTATAGATTGCACTTCTGTAAATATAGACAATGCAATTTCCCATAGGAACTCCTTTTACAGCTAAAACTGTGCCACTTTTAGTATGAAGTTTCATTAAAAATCATATCCTAGAATGGAAAGTTCATATGCACTACTATTTTTTTCAAAGGTCAAAACATAGGGCTGTGTGGCATATTTTCAACATTTATATGCCCTGAACTTCTAAGAGTTTGAACTTATACTAATTTTTCTGTACTACCCTCCCTTCACTTTGGATCTTCCTCAGAATTCAATTTAGCCACTATCCATGTGTATTTATCCTGTTAACATTCCCAAGTTATGTCTCTATGGTATGAAGTATAAAGATCATATCTGGGAACCAGTAAGTAAACAAAACAAAATATCTATGAATATTATTTATTTCCTAAAAAGAGGCATGGTTTGTGAAACAGATGTATTTACAAAGTGCAACCTATAATAAAACATTTTATAAGAAATGGTTCAATGTAATAGTTTACATTGTTGGTTATTCAAGTCAGGCTGGATGAAATGGCATACTAAACTATGAATTTTAAATCTATGTTATGTCAATAGTAGAGGACGGCCAAAAGAATGGGCTAGATACTTTTTAGATAGTTTAGATGTTAAACATTTTTGTATATTAAACTTGAGATAAACATGTTGCAGAGAACCAGTAATTCAGCATTTCTCCAAAACTATCTTGTAATAAATATAGTATAATGTTTTCATAGGAAAGTAAATGTTTTAGCAGTTTTGTAAGAACTAAATTAGTTTCTTATAGTTTCTGATTTACATGTACACTGCATTTAAGAACTAAAGAGATAATACAATGCCTGTACCAAGTCAGGAATATGACAGTTGTTTTCCATTCGTTTGATGTGTTTGTACTGCAGCTTTTGATTTTGCCATAAGAGACTTTCTGTTTTGAATTTTCCTTGGAGTTCTGTATTTTTGTTGTTTTACTTTTAACACAGTGTTTGTGAATGTCAGGATTATCTTCTTCATAGACTGCTACATGGTCCATGCATATGATTGAATATTTCCCAGACATAAATAAATTCAAACATCTCAGTTTCAGGCTTTTAGTGAAATTATTCTAACTGTATATTTTGTATCCATGGTAACATTTTATTTAAAATGAACTTACATTAGTAATATTGTTCCATGCTGTGGTGAATGTAGTTCTGTCTACTTTCCCCTCTTTCAGGTGAGCCAGGAAATTTCTGTAGTATTTTATCCTGGCTAAATCTGAAGAAGGTGTAGTTTCATTATCAGATGGTAACTGGTCATATCCACCATGAGGAGGGGTTAGTTGGGTCAGGTTTCTAAGTAACGTTATTATTAGAGTTACATCAAATGTTTTAGAATCAGGTACATCTAAAAACAAAATATATAAGATCATCAAATCATTGAAGATTTAAGACTAATTTTAAACCTTTATATATCCTAAGAATAAGAGGGGAGATCACAGAAACTTGATCATTTCTAAAAAAAAGCCTTTATAAATCCTAGGAGTAAGATAGAAGATCACAGAAACTTGATCGTTTCTATAAATAACCTTTATATATCCTTAGAGTAAGATAGAAGATCACAGGATCATTTCCATATAATGCATTATATTATCTGTTTTTAGGAAGGAATGGAAGATGTAAGAAAAACACACCTTACAATCATTCAAAACACTAAATATAGTTGACCTATTGCTTATAGTTTCTAAGAAACAGACTTAACCAAGAAAACTAAACATTGACCAACGAATCATGAAAATGAGGTCAAGTTCAGATGAACCATGCCAGGCAGACATGAACAGCTTACAACCCTTCCATACAACAAATATAGCTGACCTATTGCTTATAGTTTAAGAAAAACAGACTGAAACACATAAACTTAACACTGAGCAATGAACCGTAAAAATGAGGTCAAGGTCAAATAAAACCTGCAAGACTGACATGTACATCATAGAATATTTCCATACACCAAATATAGTTCACTTATTGCATATAGTATAAGAAAAAATACCAAAACTCAAAAACTTAACTTTGACCACTGAACCATGAAAATGAGGTCAAAGTCAGATGACACCTGCCAGTTGGACATGTACACCTTACAATCATTCCATACACCCAATATAGTAGACCTATTGCATAAAGTATAAGAAAAACGGACCAAAACACAAAAACTTAACTATAACCACTGAACCAAGAAAATGAGGTCAAGGTCAGATGACACCTGCCAGTTCGACATGTACACCTTACAATCCTTCCATACACCAAATATACTAGACCTATTGCTTATAGTATCTGAGATATGGACTTGACCACAAAAACTTAACCTTGTTCACTGATCCATGAAATGAGGTCGACTAGGTCAAGTGAAAACTGTCTGACGGGCATGAGGACCTTGATAGGAACGCACATACCAAATATAGTTATCCTATTACTCATAATAAGAAAGAAATTAACATTACAAAAAATTTTAACTTTTTTTTTCAAGTAGTCACTGAACCAAGAAAATGAGGTCAAGGACAATGGACATGTGACAGACGGAAACTTCGTAACATAAGACATCTATATACAAAGTATGAAGCATCAAGGTCTTCCACCTTCTAAAATATAAAGCTTTTAAGAAGTTACCTAACGCCGCCGCCGGATCACTATCCCTATGTCGAGCTTTCTGCAACAAAAGTCGCAGGCTCGACAAAAATGAATCATGCTAATGGAAACAAAACCCTACTTTATAACTTAATGTCCATTGTCCTTGACCTAATTTTCATTGGTCAGTGACTACTTGAAAAAAAAAGATTTCTGTGCATCAAATATAGTATCTAAGTAACAAACTTAGCCAGGAAAACTTAACATTGACCAATGAACCATGAAAAGGAGATCAAAGTCACATGATACTTGCCATACAGACATATAAACCTTACAATCATTACATACACCAAATATAGTTAACCTATAGCATACAGTTTAAGAAAAACAGACCAAAACACAAAAATTTAGCTTGAGCAATGAACCGTGAAAATGAGGTCAAGGTAAAAAAAAAACCTGCCAGACTGACATGTAAATTACAAAATATTTCCATAAACCAAATATAGTTGACCTATTGCATAAAGTTTTAGAAAAACAGACCAAAACACAAAAACTTTACTTTAACCACTGAACCATGGAAATGAGGTCAAGGTCAGATGACACCTGCCAGTTGGACATGTACACCGTACAATCATTCTATGCACCAAATATAGTAGACCTATTGCTTATAGTATCCGAGATATAGACTTGACCATGAAAACTTTACCTTGTTCACTGATCCATGAAAAGAGGTTGATGTCAAGTGGAAATTGTCTGCCTGACATGAGGACCTTGCAAGGTATGCAAATACAAAATATAGTTATACATTTACTCATAATAAAAGAGATATTAACATTCCAAAAAATCTTTATTTCAAGTAGTCACTGAACCATGAAAATGAGGTCATCGACAATGAACATATCAGACTGAAACTTCATAACATAAGGCATATATATATATATATATATATATATATATATATGTATGAAGCATCCAGGTCTTCTACCTTCTAAAATATTAAGCTTTTAAGTATGGAAAGCCAACGGGGTCAAAATTCTTACTTCGTAACTTGTCAATTTGTAACTTGTAACTGTGTGATTTCAAAATTGTTTATTGGTAAATTGTCAATTTGTATATTTATGTTTTGTAACTTATCGATTCGTTAAATGTCGATTTGTAAATTGTCAATTTGTATATTGATGTTTTGTAACTTGTCGATTCGTAAATTGTCAATTTGTATATTGATGTTTTGTAACTTGTCGTTTCGTTAAATGTCAATTCGTAAATTGTCAATTTGTATATTGATGTATTGTAACTTGTCGATTCGTTAAATGTCGATTCGTTAAATGTCGATTTGTAAATTGTCATTGTTGTATTATGCTAACGATCATTATGACGACAGATGGCACTCGGTTTCTTCTTCGGTGAATCAGCCTTCTGTAAGTAGGAGCACCTCCATATGGAATATATACCCAAGTAATTTAAATCAATAATGCACAGCAAATGCATCTTAAAGAAAACAAAAAGAATAATAACATTTTTATTTTTATATGGCATGTATACAGGTTTTATTTTGTTTTCTGAAGACGACAGGTGGCGTATCGTTCGAGAACGGAAACCATATGAAAAATACAACCCAAATAGTTCATTCCCTTCACGTAATCGATCTCTCCTACTTGCGAAGTTAATGAAGTAGTCGTAGATTAGTGGAACATTGCGACTGAATTATTCGGGTAAATAGATATAAGAAGATGTGGTAATAAACAATATGAGACAATTATCCAACAAAGTTCAAATACAGTCGATGTAAGCAATTATAGGCAACAATGAGAAAAACCCAATCCATATAGTCGGATATGAAAGGCTAAACCAGTACGTGAAAACCCAGGTAATAAACGGTTTCTATTAATCCTAAAATGCTATTATCGGACTTTTTTGATTCTGACTGAGGTCTCAGGGGGAAGGGGTGACATATATTTATAATTTTATATAATGTTGTTTGTGCTGTATTTAGACCCCTCTATAACGAAATATGTTTTACATTCACACGTATAAAATTGCGGTTTTTATCCAACGCAATCATAGGTTTGGACGTTATTTCAATTTAGACGTGTTTAATGTTATATATATATATTAACATTCATTTGTACATGCCTACTAAACTTTTCTGGTCAAGAAGCTAAGAAGTTATTGATGGTGCCGAGAGCAGTATCTGAAGCTGTTAACGCTCGGTGTGCGCACTACAGTGTCTTCAAGGATGTACCACTCGATTACCGTTTTTACGAAAAATGGGTTGGAATGTGAGATTTTGATCGTTAAAATCTCAAAACACTTTGTGTAGTTTTTGATCTGTTTTTCCACAATATTTATTGACTGATAATTGTCAAATCCCTAGGCAGCAATTGTTCTTTTTGGACGAGCTTTTTTTTTTTTTTTATTTTTCAGGTTCTATAGCAAGAACCAGCCCCTCAACCATCTCGTACAGAACAATTCGCTTATGGCTTAAGCGTTTTGTCTGTTTGTCTTTGAAGAGCGTGTTTGAGACACAACCATCTTCTCTGGATTTGTAGCCTCCTCATTATAAATCTCGCAGCTTGTCGCTGTATTCTTTCAAGCTTGTTGATGTTCGTAGATGTGTAGGGGTCACATATACTATTGTTTCATACTCCAATATTGACAAGTGAAATATATGCGGTTTTCTTGCATTCGGCTGGTGGGCAATATCTCAAATTCCTTATCAGGAACCCTAGTCACGGTTGAGTTTGCATTCTTGGTTACGATGAAAATATGGGTAGTCCATTTTAGGTCCTTGATAAGTTTTTTGGTTCCTTTAGATTTTATTACAAAATATTACATATCTAATACAGTTTTAATATATAGTATTCATCAATTAAGTGACTCATTTAAAATAACACTTCATTCAATTTGTTTTGCAAAGTACATGATATAAAACATTTTTATCTTCATTACTCAAGAGCCAAATAAATAATGATTTTTCATCAATTTCAGTGCTTTTTGTATTCAAAAATCATTAGATATAAATTACATTATTTTTCCAATATCTTAATTATAATATTAAGGAATAATGGCCATGGTATCAACCCATTTCTCCCATCATACATTTAGTCCAAAATTTGCGGCCCTGAACAATATAAGTATGAACTATCCAGCTTAGTCTTTTATTTCATGTATTTAGTCTAATTTTGACCCGGTCAAATATTAAAAAGATATTTCCTGCCAAGTGACAGTAACATATTTGCGAAGTTGATAAGTGAGCCCATTCCAGCGACACATCAGTATATACCTAATTACAGGAAGTGACACACCCCTGCCAGGTGTGTTTACCAGTCTGGAAGACATACATGTTTATTCGAGGTCACCTCTATATAAAACCGAGTCCCTGGTATATATGCCATATAAACCAAACAATGTGTTTATCTATTTATTTTCTTTTATTTGTATATGCTGTACATAATTGATTTATAAAATTACTTAGGTATATACTCTACATGGAAGTGCTCCTACTTACAGGAGGCTTATACACCGAAGAGGAAACCGAGCACCATCTGTCGTCATAATGATCGTTAGCATAATACAACTATCAGAATGACAATTAACAAATCGACATTTAACGAATCGACAAGTTTCAAAACATACAAATCAACATTTAACGAATCGACAAGTTACAAAACATCAATATACAAATTGACAATTTACAAATCGACATTTAACGAATCGACAAGTTACAAAACAACAATATACAAATTGACAATTTACGAATCGACATTTAACGAATCGACAAGTTACAAAACATCAATATACAAATTGACAATTTACAAATCGACATTTAACGAATCGACAAGTTACAAAACAACAATATACAAATTGACAATTTACGAATCGACATTTAACGAATCGACAAGTTACAAAACATCAATATACAAATTGACAATTTACCAATAAAGAATTTTGAAATCACACAGTTACAAGTTACAAGTTACAAATTAACAATTTACGAATTACGAATTTTCATATTACAAAGATACAAGTTACAAATTGACAATTTAGGAAGTAAGAATTTTGAAATTACAAAGATACAAGTTACAAATTGACAAGTTACGAAATAAGAATTTTGACCCCGTTGGCTTTCCATATTTAAGTAGTAAGTTAACTCCACTGTCGCTGCCACTGGATCACTATCCCTATGTCTCACTTTCTGTGACTTCTGTCAAAGGCTCGACAAAAGCAGGTTCCACTGTAACTTAATATAAAATGTCTCTCACAACATACAAGGAAATCTTAGAAACTGGGAATTCCACTGTGACTGATATATAACATGTCTCTAACAACATACCACGAAATCTTAGGAACAGGAGGTCCCCTATCACTGATATATAACATGTCTCTAACAACATACAATGTACATTGAAATCAGGGGAACAGGAGTTTCACTGTGACTGACATCTAACATGAGGGTTGGCACCTTCAAACTAGTTTATCCCCGCCACATTCTGTACGTGCCTGTCCCAAGTCAGGAGCCTGTAATTCAGTGGTTGTCGTTTGTTGCTGTATATCATATTTGTTTTTCGTTCATTATTTTGTTCAATAATCAGGCTGTTAGTTTTCTCATTGCTTTCCATTTGTCATTTCATGGCCTTTTATAGCTGACTATGCAGTATGGGTTTTACTCATTGCTGACGGCAGTACAGTGACCTATAGATGTTAATTTCTGTGTCATTTGGTCTCTGATGGAGGGTTGTCTCATTGGCAATCGTACCACATCTTCTTATTTTTATATTCACAACATACCAGGAAATCTTCGTAGCAGGAGGTTTCCTTGTAACTGACATATATGATGTCTCTCACAACAAACCAGGAAATTGTGAGAAAAGGAGTTTCACTGCGACTGACATCTAACATGTCTCTGTAAAGTTACTAGAAAATTAGGGAAAAGGAGTTTCCCTTTTGCCTGTACCAAGTTAGGAATATGACAGTTGTTTTCAGTTCGTTTAATGTGTTTGAGCATTTGATTTTGCCATTTGTTAAGGGACTTTCCGTTTTGAATTTTCCGTGGAGTTCAGTATTTTTGTTATTTTACTTTTGATTGAAATATGACTTATCTCCCTGTTTTTCAGCAGGAAATCTAGGGAATACTAGTTTCACTGTAACTAACATGAAACATGTCTCTATACTTACCAGGTGACCGGGGGGTCAGGAGTTTCCACTGAGACTGGTTTATTATTCGCTTCATTTGAAGGTCTTTCAGTTTATTGTACTCTTTCTTCAGTGAGGAATCTAAGCATGATGGGGCAAATTCACGATCAAACAAAGCTCGTGCTGCACGAGGAGATATTCCTGTCAGTAACAAGCTCATCCTGACATAGTTTTCTTCCTCTTGTGTAAGTCTAGATGCCATGATGTAAGGCTATAATAATTAAGTTTATAATTTTCTTTTGTTCAGACTTCCAATTTTATTTCTTTATGCAATGTGCATCATAGCTATTCATACACTTATTTGGATCTTAGCTCCATGGCTGCACTTCTCATGATTTTCTGGTGGTCTGTTTATTAACTTCCAGAATTACTTTTTAACAACTGAGAAAATTTTCTGAAAAGAAAACCATAAATGAAAAATTTGTGAAAACACATTTAATATTATCCTCCAATGTTATGTAATCATTTACAACTAGTGCTGTCATTTATATGGAAATGTTGTTATTATAAAAAGTTGAGGACTGCTGTGAAAAATATTTGCTAAAATCTAGATTTTTAATGTGAACTGAAGAATCTAACATGACCAAAATCTCAATCAATTAAAGAATAAGCATGACTTTTTGTAAAATGTAAAATGTTTCAATAGGTAAAAATTAGTGAAAGTCCCATAACTCATGTATTTTAAAATTAAAATCAAAATAACAATTTGATATTATGGTGAAATAAACAAAACAACCCACATTCTCACTAAGTGATTTCAATACTATAGCAATTGCCTTAGTCACTAAATATTTGTCATGATCCTTTGTTTTGGAAAATGTAAATGGTATTTAGTCCTATTTTAAATATATCCAAAGTACTACAAATACTAACACAGACTGTCATGACTGTCAAATAAATCTAGTGACAAGGAACGATTATTCTAAAGCAGCAAATCCTGTAAACTAGAGGCTCTATTACAACATAGTCAAACTGCAGACCAAATAAATCAGGTGACAAGGAACGATTATTCTATAGCAGCAAAATCCTGTAAACTAGAGGTTCTAACACAACATATTCAAACTGCAGACCAAATAAACCTAGTGACAAGGAACGATTATTCTATAGCAGCAAATCCTGTAAACTAGAGGCTCTAATACAACATAGTCAAACTGCAGACCAAATAAATCAGGTGACAAGGAATGATTATTCTATAGCAGCAAATCCTGTAAACTAGAGGTTCTAACACAACATAGTCAAACTGCAGACCAAATAAATCTAGTGACAAGGAACGATTATTCTATAGCAGCAAATCCTGTAAACTAGAGGCTCTAATACAACATAGTCAAACTGCAGACCAAATAAATCACTTGACAAGGAAGGATTATTCTATAGCAGCAAATCCTGTAAATAAGAGGCTCTAACACAACATAGTCAAACTGCAGACCAAATAAATCAGGTGACAAGGAAGGATTATTCTATAGCAGCAAATCCTGTAAACTAGAGGTTCTTACACAACATAGTCAAACTGCAGACCAAATAAATCTAGTGACAAGGAAAGATTATTCTATAGCAGCAAATCCTGTAAACTAGAGGTTCTAACAAAACATAGTCAAACTGCAGACCAAATAAATCAAGTGACAAGGAACGATTATTCTATAGCAGCAAATTCTGTAAACTAGAGGCTTTAATACAACATAGTCAAACTGCAGACCAAATAAATCAGGTGACAAGGAAGGATTATTCTATAGCAGCAAATCCTGTAAATAAGAGGCTCTAACACAACATAGTCAAACTGCAGACCAAATAAATCAGGTGACAAGGAAGGATTATTCTATAGCAGCAAATCCTGTAAACTAGAGGTTCTTACACAACATAGTCAAACTGCAGACCAAATAAATCTAGTGACAAGGAAAGATTATTCTATAGCAGCAAATCCTGTAAACTAGAGGTTCTAACAAAACATAGTCAAACTGCAGACCAAATAAATCAAGTGACAAGGAACGATTATTCTATAGCAGCAAATTCTGTAAACTAGAGGCTTTAATACAACATAGTCAAACTGCAGACCAAATAAATGTAGTGACAAGGAACAATTGTTCTATAGCAGCAAATCTTGTAAACTAGGGGCTCTAACACAACAAAGTCAAACTGCAGACCAAATAAATCTAGTGACAAGGAACGATTATTCTATAGCAGCAAATCCTGTAAACTACAGGTTCTAACACAACATAGTCAAACTGCAGACCAAATAAATGTATATTCATAGCCTTTACTGTTTAGTCCAATTTGTTAATATCCTTTTGGTGTGGCTCTGTATTTATACATCCTGCCATTATGTTATTGTGCTATGGTAATTTTTTGTATTTCATTTTTGCTTATGTGCTTTAGTCTATAGTATAGACCGACCGTGCGAGGGCTGTATTATAAGCCAGTCAAGGTCGTTAAAAACTCCCATCATCGTTATAGTATAGAGTGTCTACATGCCATTTCGTTTTTCTTTGTTGACATAGTTTATTTTTTATAGTGATTAAGATAATAACACAATGTTGACTACAGTTGCTCACGCATTGTTGTCAATATAATGGAATTTTACGCGACTGTCATACAAGTGAGAGGTTTAGTTAGCTATAAAACAAGGTTTAATCCACCATTTTCTACAAAAGGAAATGCCTGTACCAAGTCATGCAAGTCAAGAATATGAAAGTTGTTTTCTATTCATTTAATGTGTTTGAGCTTTTGATTTTGCCATTTGTTAAAGGACTTTCCGTTTTAAATTTTCTTTGGAGTTCGGTATTTTTGCTATTTTACCTTTTTCTATCATTTTCATAAAAGCTAAGAACAAAGGTCTTTTGGATGGATAGATGGACAGAAAAACAGATGGATTGATGAAATGACAGATGGAGTCGATTGGTTACTAGACCTGGTTTATCTGTTGGCCAAGCAGGTAAAAATTGTCATTTAAGGGCAAAACCTCCTATGAGAAGTCAACTAACAATTTTGGCAGATATTTTTGAAGACCTTGTCTTATTCATCATTTTTGCTGTTTATAGTTTCTTTATCTTATCTAGTTTTGATTGCAATTTAAAGCTTCTCTCTATCTATTATAGTTTTCAAGATAATAGACAAAATGGGAAAAAAAAGAAGTAAGGTAGCTGGCCGGGGTGTCTTAATCCATCTTGAACTTTGAAAGAGCAGATAACAATCGGTCTAGATCTTTAATGAAATGTGCAAATTTCGTGAGTAGTATGTAATTATATCTAAGACTTTTAATATTTATATAAGAAATTATGTGTTTTATCATTATAATTTCATGGCTGGCTTTTACAAAAAACAGAATATTTTTGTAGGATTCATTTTTTTTTCAACTTTGCCACATAAGGAAAAGTTACTACGAAAAAGAAGGTTTAGAGGGAATGATCTTTGTAAAAGTTAACGGTCAATAGACGGCAACAACCGACACCAGACGCCAAGTGATGGGAAAAATCAACTAGAGGCTCCAAGGAGCCTGTGTCGCTCACCTGATATTTTTGTTTATAATTGATGCATGAAATAATGCAACCATTATACTTTTGCTTTAGTTTCAGAGATATAAGCCAAAAACTGCATTTTACCCCTATGTTCTATTTTTAGCCATGTCGGCCATGTATGTTGGCAGGCGGGGTCAGCGGACACTTTTTTTTACACTAAATACCCTAATGATGATTATGGCCAAGCTTGGTTAAATTTGTCTCAGTAGTTTCAGAGGAGAAGATTTTTGTAAAAGATGACAAAAATTTACGAAAAATTGTAAAAAATTGATTATAAAGGGCAATAACTTCTTAAGGGGTCAATTGACCATTTTGGTCATGATGACTTATTTCTAGATCTTACTTTGCTGAACATTATTGCTGTTTACAGTTTATCTCTATTTATAATAATATTCAAGATAATAACCAATAAAATGGAGAATGTGTCCCCATAGACACAGATGATGCCCCCGCTTGCATACAACATTATAAAGGGACATAGCTCAAGAACGATAAAAGTGACGCTACCAAATTTGTACTTGATCTGAGTTTTGTGGTAATAAGTATTGTGGATAGGTCTCATAATGTTTGGTTGGGACAAACTTAAGTTACAGAACGGAAACTAAAAATTTTGCAATTTTTCGATTTTCAAAGGGGCATAACTCGAAAATGATTAAAGTGACGCCACTAAAATTCAACTTGATCTGTATTTTGTGGTAAAAAGCATTGTGTAAAGTTTCATAACATTTGGTTGAGGCAACTAAAGTTAGAGAACGGAAACTAAACATTTTGCATTGTTTTCCATTTATAAAGGGCATAACTCGTGAATTGTTAAAGTGACCCCACCAAAATTCAAACTTGATCTGTATTTTGTGGTAATAAGCATTGTGTATAAGTTTCATAACATTTGGTTGAGGCAAACTTAAGTTAAAGAATGGAAACTAAAATATTTTGCAATTTTTCCATTTATAAAGGGGCATAACTCTAGAACAGTTAAAGTGACGCCACCAAGATTCAAAATAGATCTGTGTTTTGTGGTAATAAGCATTGTGTATAAGTTTCATAACATTTGGTTGAGGCAAACTCAAGTTAGAGAACGGAAACTAAAATTTTTGCAATTTTTCCATTTATAAAGAGGTATAACTCAAGAACAGTTAAAGTGACGCCACAAAAATTCAAACTTGATCTGTGTTTTGTGGTCATAAGCATTATGTATAAGTTTCATTACATTTGGTTGAGGCAAACTTAAGTTAGAGAACGGAAACTAAAAATTTTGCAATTTTTCCACTTATAAAGAGGCATAACTCTAGAACGGTTACAGTGACGCCACCAAAATTCAAACTTGATCTGTGTTTTGTGGTCATAAGCATTGTGTATAAGTTTCATAACATTTGGTTGAGGCAAACTTAAGTTAGAGAATGGAAACTAAAAATTTTGCAATTTTTCCATTTATAAAGGGGCATAACTCTAGAACGGTTAAAGTGACGCTACCAAAATTCAAACTTGATCTGTGTTTTGTGGTAATAAGCATTGTGTATAAGTTTCATAACATTTGGTTGAGGCAACTCAAGTTAGAGAACGGAAACCAATTTTGGGATGTACGGACGTACGTATGTACGTACGAACAAACGGACAAGGGTAAAACTTAATGCACCCTCCGCTACAGCGGGGGGCATAAAAATGCTTCGCTGAGCGCAGCCAGATATGACCACAGAGGTCTAACCCTGAACAGTTGGGGCAAGTTTGGACACAATATTCAAGCTTGATACTGTCTGAATTTGGATTGTGATCAAATTTTTGACATAATATAGGTTTCTGACACAAAATAAATGTATCAAATTTTTGACATAATATAGGTTTCTGACACAAAATAAATGTGATCAAAGATCTTAAAAATTTGAAATGG